AGTGTATTGGCGCTCACGTCGACCTTTGGCAACGTCGACTTGCACCAAGCCAACTACAACTTGACGCAGTACTACAGGCTGCCGCTGCTTCGCTGAATAATGGCACATTTGCCTAGGATCCTCGCCCACGCCTCGGACCAGAGTATCCCGATCTTTTCCGGCGCGCCCAAGCCGCTCATCGCGAGCATGGGCAGCAAGTGGGCGGGCCACGGCGTCGACGGCCTCGGCGGCTCCATCGGCGTCGCCCCAAGCACGCCACCGAGCGAGAATCACGCGGTCTCGGCGCTGCTTCGCTTCGCCAAGGCGCATCCGAAGGAGCTCACAATCGTCGCCATTGGACCTGCGACCAATCTCGCGCTGGCTGCGATGCTCGATCCGACGTTCGTTGAGAACCTCAAGGAGGTTGTCGTCATGCGCAAACGACGCACCATCACGTATCGACTGTGGATAGGTCATCTACATGGGCTGTACGACGCGAGGCCAAGGCAACACGACGCCGCACGCCGAGTTCAACGTGGCGAGCGACCCCGAGGCCGCGCACATTCTCTTGACGCAGTTTGCATCGAAGCTCACGATCGTGAGCTGGGAGACCGTCTGTGACGCCCACCTGACGTGGTCCTTTTACGACGAGCTGATTGCGCTACCAACGCCAACCGCTCGCTTTCTCCAGCGCATCTTCTCGGCGTACGAGCAGTACCGTCCGAGCGCCAGCAGCGGCAAGCAGCAAGAATTTATCCTCTGCGACGCGTACGCAACGGCGCTCCTCGTCGCTGACTGCGCGACGGACGTCTCGTTTGCCAATGGTTATGTCGAGCTCTCGCAAGGACCCACTCGCGGCGCATGCCACTGGGTTCCATCCAACGCACCTGCGACCAAGCTCGTGCACATGTTTGACGTTGACCGCTTCAAGGCCCTTCTCCGGCACTTGATGGAGGAGCGTGGCGCGCTGCATGGATCGATGCCTTCTGGCCGTTCCGCGACAACGTGCTAGACGACTGCCACTAAGACTCGATAAGAAGACGCTACTCGTGTTGGTCCCATAGTTATGGCGGTGGTGTGACAACCATGGTTTCGAGCGCCGACGTGATTGTACCGAGCCCGTCCAGCTCGGGCAGCGCGCGCGGACGGTGGTGCGACTGGGTGTTGTAGCCGTAGTAGGCGGAGAGCGCGCTTTGGGCCTTCTCGGCGTGCGCGGTGGCCGTTTGGCGCTCGACAGCGGCGCCTGCACTCTCACTTTGCACTTGGTCGCGCTTCCGGAAAAACGTGTTGGCGCTCACGAGGCGGGGCTTCTTACTGCGCACCAATCCGCTATCGACGCCAACGACAGTCGGCGGCCCCGATACGAGCGGGATCGGGCTCATGTCGCTCGGGTGACGCTGCAGTGCGACGCTCGGTGGGTCCGCCGCATACACGAGGCGCTTCATGAACCAGTCGCCGACGCTGCTGCGCGCAGTGGTTTGCAAAAGCACGTTGACTTCGGTCGCGCACTTGGTCGTCTCGTCAACCATCATCGCGTCGACGAGATCGCCATTCACATAGATGGGCGGCAGTGCCTACGTTGAGATGAGACGCATCCATTTCACGAGCTTGGGGCGTGCCTTTTGCAGGTCCAAGTTGGTGCAGACCAGAACGTAGCGCTGGTACGTCCGCTTCCCGGCCGGCGCCTGCGCATACAGCGAGCACTCGAGCATCGTGTTAGTCCTACGACACTGCACTGTCGCTGGTTGCAATACGAACGTCTCCTACTTGAGCAGGAGCTTGGAGCTGTGGTACAAGAGTCGCGGTGTCACGGGCAGCTCCGATTCGTCGTCGAGGGCGGCGAGCTTGGTCGTCTTCTTCTCGAGCGCCGTCGCCTCCTTGACGTTGAGTGCGTGCAGGGTGGAGAAGGACACGTGCGAGTGTCGCTTTTGCTCGGACGCAAACGCCACCTTGCAGACCTCACTAGTTGGAATGTGGATTCGAGAGGCCCCAGATCTGGCAGCTGGACGTACCAGAAGATCGGGGCGTCGTTCGCAGCCGTGCGCTGAAGGTAGGCCCGCGTCGACTTGCGCAGGTGCGCGACGTACTCGGTTGTGAGGATGCGTCGCTTGAGGCCACCAACGCCAAAGAAAGAGGCTTTGCGCCGGCCATTTTCGGCCAGTCTCGGCGACAGCTCCATGGCCGCCGGCAGACGCCTCGCCTTTGGACGTGTCGCCATGGTCGGTCGCGCTAAGAATAGCCACCACTTCCTATCTCATCACAAGTGCTCGAAGACGTAGTAGGAAACGATTATGAAAAACTTTGATGGACGACGCTGCGTCGCGTCACTGGAACTGCGCCGCCATCGCAATCGCTCGGTCCGAGAGCGCGTGGAGCTGGCCCGTGTTGGTGTCGAGGGCGCGACAGAGCACATTGAGCCGCGCCTCGATGGCGCAGAGCACGGCCTCGAGGCCGCTGATCGCTGCGTCCAGCGTCCCGTGCAGATGCGCCGCGGATCTTGCGTGCGCCATGGCCGAGCCCATCTCGTCGCAAATGCGGTCGAACATGGACTGCTCCAGCGTCAAAACGCGGGACTGCGTGGCCTCCACAGCGCGCAAGATCACGCTCGTGATGACATCGTCCAGCGCTCCATCTGCGGCAGAGAGACGATCGTCCAAGTCGTTGCCCGCAGAGCGAATGCCGGCGATAGCAAGCCGTACTGTCGCGAGCATGCGTTGCAGCTCCTGCACCTCGCCCGTGACGCTGCGGACCGTATCAGCGATGCGCTGCGTCTCGCTGAGGATCGAAGCAACCGCGTCGCCCACCGACGTGCTTGGTGGAGGTGCTTCCGTGGCTGCGATCGGGGTGGCCGGCATTGTGGCTTGCATGGTCGTGTCAACGGCGGCTTCTTCGACGACCTGCGTGTTCGGGCGCTTGGCTACCGGCTCCTCGTCATCGCTCGCCGCCGATGCACGAGCGCGCTTGCTTTGGCGTGATGAGCTTGGACTCGCTTGCTCGGAGGTCTGCTCGTCGTCCAGCGTCGAGGCTGCGGTCGACTCCATATCACCTGCCATCTTTGGTGTGGGTTTGGAAGAAAACCTCTAGTATTCTATATCTCTCATAGTCGATTCTCTGGTTAAACTGCCAGAATCGATGTTTGTCGGTTGCACTTGTTCATAAAAGCGGTGACCGCCTCGCTCAGCGCGTATCGAGTCGCACTCTGCTAGAACACAAGGAGCACGTGTGGTTGGAATCCCACTTCACGACGCTCGGTAAACGACGCTACCCGGTGCATTCCTCCGCAAAGCCCAAGCGAAATCCTGTGTCCAAGCGCAACCTCGTGGCAGTCCAAAAGGGCAGCAGCTGGCAAGGCAGCAATGATCAGACATTTCTGCAGAGTACTTCGCTAATATCGTGGTTTGCTCAGTTGCTACGAAAGCAAACCGTAGATCGGGTGTTACTCGTTCCATCGGCTTCGCGTCTTTGGCGCGCCAGTCAGCAAACCTGGTTGAAGTCGCGACGGCTCAAGCGTGCAACTTCAAATTTGGCTTCAACGTTATCCGTCTTGGTGTTGAGGGAAAAAAGAGCAGCCAAAGTAGCTTACTGAAGACAACACTTCCACTCCCCAGCTCATACCGCGTGTTTGCTCTTCTTTCCATCGGTTCCAGGCATCGACACCGCCTCTGCAACGCTCGCCAAGTGCACACTGCGGCTCGCAACGACTCGCTACGCGAGCGGCTACTTGCGCTTGTCATATTACACGTTAGCTTGGCTGTATGACGTTTTGTTTCGTCGCCAATTTACCCAGACTGGGTCGGCGTGAGCGAGCAACTTCAAGCGCGAGCATAGCGTGATGGTCTAAATCGCACAATCACCACCTTTAGAAACTAATATATTGGACCCAATATGCGCGGTTGTGGTGTCTCGGGCACCACATGTGTGATTCGCTGTAACTGGCGTGGCGATGATCCGATTACGGTATATGCGGTCTAAACGGTAAACACGGGCCCGGGCCTCAATATTGCCACATGCACGGTCTAGCATCGTGGCCCGACCCAGAATATTACACCGGTGGGACGCGCCTTGAGCCTGCCACCTTCCTGGGTGCGATGATGCTACGACAAGCTCAAACAAGAGCGTGTTATTCTACGGTTGTACGTTTGACGTAGTCCCCACCACCGAGTTCGTCACAACTCAATTTGCGTCCTTACAGCAACAGTATGGACGCCAACTACCACGAAGCGCTCGACGTCAAGGAGAAGCACCTCCAGGACGAGGGCGAGAACGAGATCCCGCAGCACATCCTCGACCAGATCAAGGAGTACCGCAACGTCATCTACTG